AATAAATCATAAAAATGGGCGAATTTTATTTGAAATAAACCTAAATTTCGAACTCTGGAAGAAGGAATCGGGTAAGTCTAATAAAAAAGAGATATTAATAAATGTATTTCAAATTTAATTAACACCGAGGAGCTAAATTTTGAAAGCTAATATTTTAGAACCTACTTTTGCGATTCTTTACAAAACTTGGGAGTTTGGCATAATTTGAGCCGTAGAATGGAAATATGGAAAAAATTGGCATGTCATTTCAGAAAAAATCCGGTTTTGTGTCAAAATACCTGTATTAGAACAATGCTAGTAGTACAGTAATCGTTTTGTATCAGAGAAATTGTGTATAGTATTAATTCATTGCATCATAGTTTTGAAATATTGTAAGAGAATAATCGTATTGATGATCTTATAGATGATAAGGTTATTACTTTTAATGTTTACCTAACTATTATAATTGATAGCGGAATAGTTCTGTTACTAAATAGAGTAATTATATTTAATAAGAATAATCGTATTGTTTTATAGTATTATTGTGTTAACTGGTTTGGTATGATTAATCATTGTACTTAGTAAATGCATAGAATTACTGTACTAAATTTTTATATTTTAGTAATCATAAAGAATCATTCTTTTGAATCACTGAATTGTAATGAACAAATAAAGTGCAAGTTATACTGTACTGTACATATTTAACAATTGATTTCTTTACACGTAAATGTAACATCAGTACTATAATAGGTACTTAGATGACTATACCATATATTTAAATGTTATTAATAACATATATAGAATTATTACAAATCTGAGTATATATATTAAATCACTGAATACTTGTATCGTAATCTTTATACTTCAGTAATTGCATATAATTATTGCTTTGGTACATGGTCTAAAGAAGCAGTATAATGTCACTGTATTGCATCATTACATTATTTATAATATTCAGTGTGCAAGGTAAAACTGTACAGTACATAATTTATAATTAACTGCTTTCAAGTAACATGTAGTATCATTGCTGTAATGATTAATTAACGGTATAATTTAAATGTTTGTGTTTGTTGGCTAGTGAGGTTTATAATATAAATGGTATTTTTATTAATTTGAGTTAATAATAATATTGAAATTTTGAATAATTATATAGATTTTTGTTCTAAGAAGCGCATAGAATTGTTGTATTGAATCATTGCATTTGAATACTCGTATAGAATCATAGTATTAAATTATTCGTGAGTAATCGTACGGTATCATCGTATTGAATTATTTATTTGTATAGTATTTCCAATGTGCAAGTAAAATTGCACTGTACATATCTTATTATTGAATTGCTTGCCAGTAATATGCAACATCATTTCAATAAATTAATAATATGAATAGTGTTATCATTAATTTAAGTAATAGTATTGAATCATTGTATATTTATAGTGAATCATTGTTTTAATATTCGCATATAATCATTGCATTTTAGAAATTGTATAGAATTAATGCTTTTATAGTGTATTTATAGTCTAAGTGCAATTATTCATTTAACTGTATTAATATCCAATTTTAATATAATAACTGTGTCTTTAGTAGTACGCTGTAATATATAAGTTAACAATGACATTCAGAATGATTAGAGACTTATGCGAGATCTAAGCATTTTTATACTTCTATAAATTTAAGTTGGCAATGTATGAAATATAAGCATTTGTATGTTCGTCGGTTTTTGTATACTGAGTTTAAATGTTGAATTTTACATTAGTAAATTCATGTTGACAATGTCGTCACTTATCAATCACAACAGTATAATATAATCATTATGTATGATATATCTTCTTTATGTATTAAATTGTAAACTTTATATGTAACTTGCTAAAATTACCTGCTAGGGTATTGAATTGTAATCTTATGTGTCACTTGCTAAAGTTTTGTTCATAACTCATAAGTAGTGTTCACACAGATGTAACCATTTTTAATATCTATGTTTTGTAACACTAATCAATGTGCCCTATGAGTGGATTTCGTGTGACCCTAACATGAGTCAGCTTTAGATAAGGGTGGACGTGGCGCTAAACCAATTAACCATAATGGTAAAGGGGTGGTGCCCACGTCCTCCGTCACTAAACTAAACTATATATAAACCTAATACATATCCTAAGTCGCGCTTTCGAGACATGAAGAACGATATTTGAATTTCGTCAATCGGCCCAGAAGGACGGGAGATACAGAACTCTCTCTTTTATATTTTGTGCAGTATACCTTTACTTTCAGTCTTAGTCCTAACTGTGCGTCATTTCAAATTCAGTCTTAATTGTGTAGCAAGTGATTCTCAATTTTTCGATGTAAAACACATTGAAAGCTGTCCATCCTTAAGCATTTTTGAAAGATACTTAGAGTGGTAGGCTTTAAGCTTAAGAACTGGTTGTTGTTGTCGTTTAATACATGAATTTCGTGGAAGGATGGCTGCCAAAGCCTCGAGATGGTCGGACTTCTATTTGCACTCCAATTTTGAGGGAGAGAACCCCGAGGAAGGGGGTAGTTCAAGGGTCTCCCACTCCTTACCATCAATCCACAAGTGAGGACTTTCGGCTCGCCATACATTTAGCCTCATGCCGCAAAGACACTACACATTTACGAATATTCCGAGCCTTCTCTGGGATTCTTCGTTACCATAGCACCGGTTGTTCACCCAACCATTATACTGTCTGGGTGGCCTTACGAACTGGTTGACAACCTTTAACATTTTTAATTTTAATTGATTATTTTAGCTTGTATTGAGGCCTTTTTGCTCTTTTAGTGCGTTTTTAAACACGTATTTTAAATTTCCTTTGTTTACAGATTTTATTTTGTATGTATTTTAAGTTTGTGCTATTTGTTGTTACACTCTATTACATAGTTTTTCATAACAAATATTATTCAAAATAAAACAAATCTTTTACATTTCAAAAAGTCATTTCAAAAAGAACTGTTGGCAATAAATGAATAAAATTACTTACTTGCTGTAAAATAGTTAATACACAAAAGATTGAATTTAAATGCAATTAAGACATCCTTGAAGTTCTTACCGGAAACCAAGCATGGAGAACCTATGTCAGTCATTTGCACTGATGTATGAACTTAGAATTAATAAAACAAAAATAAATAAAATCTGAAACCTTTCAAATTTCACATAACTCCCAAAGGGGCGTTTTTTAGTGTGTTACTTTACTTATTAAATATCATGTTCTGCGTACTTAAACCATAAAATTCAATTCAACAGCAATATCGCAAAATAATTTAGAAAGAGCATATCTTTAGAATTTCCGATACACAGTCTCGCGAGCTGGAGATAAAAAAATTTTTGGCTCTACTCTTATATACGCCCTAAGACCACCAAATGTGGCGATATGTTTTCTCCGCTGGTTTTTGTTTTGGGGACGATGTTGTTTGTATGGTAACCCTTTTCACATTGAAATTAACTCTTTTGCAGCAGTGGTTTAATTGTTCGTTGGTTCGTGTCGTCCATGTTTTAAAATGGCCTATGTTGCAATGATAGACGTGGTGGCAAGATTTCAGTCGCGTATTTTAAATTGTGTGGAAAATAAATTTAGTATTAAAAGGTACGATGTTGGAGTTATTGACGAGTCTTTTGTTCGCGGGTGTGTTTATGAGGATCGAAGTGTATTTTTGGAATTTCTGTGGAACTTTTAAAACGGAGTCCGAAATGCGGAGCTGCTATGAGAACTCGGACGAAGAAGGGCGTTTCTGACAGTTCTTATGTGGATTTGCAATCAAATGGTTGCTGGCAAATTATGTGGCTGTCAGCGGAGTTTAAGATTTGAATCGTGGTTTTCGTGTAGTAAGTTAACTTTGGAGGAAGTTTTTATCATTACTTTCGAAATTTTGAGTCGCAGAAAGACATGTGATATAGCAAAATCGCGGTACTTTTCTTCACAGACGTTGTGTGACTGGCGAAATTTTATTAACGAATGTGTTATGATAAGTGCATTTCATTTTGTACAATGTTATGTTCATTGTTTTTTTTTACTATGAATTTCAGTTGTTATTGTTGTTTTTTGAATTGTTTGTAATTTTAGTTATTTTAGTTTATTTTGTTGATTTAGTACGCAATGCCTATTGCTGCGTACATGGATTCTTGTCAAATATTTTTGGTTAGAAACTTTACGTTTTTGCTATCTAAATTTTTTGTTTTAGTTTCGGATGTTTAGCTTAAATTGTGTGTTCAAAACATGGTTTTTAACATGTGCGAAAAGGAGACATTTTAGGCTTAAAGTTCGAAATGTAGACAAAACATTTAGATAGTAATATGGCACCCTGGAGTTTTTCGCCAAGTGAGGGCGTGAATAAGAATAGTTCCATGCTATTTTTTTTTTTTTTTTTTTTTTTTTTTTTTTTTTTTTTTTGTTGCATTGCCATCGCTTCCTTTGAAATCGTTGAGTTTCTTAATCAAAAACTGATAAATGCTTTACAAAATACGAAATAGATAATAAAACAAATTCCAAATTTGGGCTTCCAGATGCCCATATTCTGTAGGAGACGTACGTTATTCCAAGTTTGATGTCGCTAGGTATCGCTGTTTTTTCAAAATGCGAGAAACATACATACATTCATGCAGATGCTTCAGTATATAATTTCTTTAAATAGTATAATGCTGGGCTCTATGGGCAAATTGCACATTTGGATTAATATAATATTAATAATTATATTATAAATATTTTACAAATAGATTAACATTTACGTTTTTTTGCTATTTTTATAAAAATCATTGTAACAAACAATTGCTTATTAATCCTGATGCCTAATGTAAGTCAAAAATAATACTTACGCATGCGAATCTTATCACACTAATTGTACTTAAGACAGCTGACATAACAATGGTTTCGTTGATGTATTATTATAAATTAACAATTTTTAGTTCAGGCTATAGTTAATTACCTAGATTTAGTTCTGTAAAATTACTGCATCAATGATTATTGCGATAAGCAAATCATTTATTGACTGTTTCTTTTTTACTTTTTTTTTTTTTTTAGCAAATCGAACAAGGCCGCTGATATAGTCATTCATACGTCTAGCGACTGTACTTTTCCTAATTGCGGAGGAGCAATTATCGCAGATCGGAATTGGTTCAACAAAAAACCATCAAGATTTACGGGAGACAGTTTTATTGCTTATTGAAAGTAACACAGACTCATTTAACTGTGGAACAAATACGTGTAACTTGAATTTAACAAAATGACTTTGCTTTTGGGAGACTATCATTTTGTAGCTATGTAGTTTTTATTAAGTTACAATTCAAGTTATAGTTTTAAACAAGTTACAATTCAAGTTATAGTTTTAATTAAGTTACAAAGCAAAGTAGAGCAAAATAGTGTTTTTTTTTTTTTTTTTTTTTTTTTTTCATTTGGAAGTTTTAAAGGTATAGTATTCTTAGTTAAGACTTCGAATTATTATAATTAATATGCATTTCTCATAATTCAAAGAGAGATTAATTTTTAATTCCAGGTACATAAATATCTCTGCTTCTTTGTAAAAAAATTGCTTTCTGTCAAACAAAGTATATATATATATACAAAGTGTGTCTGCTTATTATATATATATATATATACAAAGTGTGTATGCGATATATATATAATAAAATACTTACATATATATTGTAATGAAGTTTTAAAGAACTCTCGCCATGTTTAAACGATTAACAAACTTTATTAGTCAAAACTTACAGAATAACTGGAAAAACATTTTTAAGCGCGCGCATCGTCTGCGGATATTCTTTGCGGATAATCATCTACGGTAATTTACATTTCTTAGTGGAATTATGTTGGTAGCGTAGAAACGCAAATACGTTACAATATATATGTAAATATTCTATTATTTTTTAAAATATTAGTTTTCGTTAAGTGTGTCAAAAAACTATTTTGCATATTATGGTTATGTCTAATTTTGGGTTAAATTGCATTATTGCGTGAAATTTAAAATCTGCTTATATATATATACAAAGTGTGTATGCGATATATATATAATAGAATACTTACATATATATTGTAATGAAGTTTTAAAGAACTCTCGCCATGTTTAAACGATTAACAAACTTTATTAGTCAAAACTTACAGAATAACTGGAAAAACATTTTTAAGCGCGCGCATCGTCTGCGGATATTCTTTGCGGATAATCATCTACGGTAATTTACATTTCTTTGTGGAATTATGTTGGTAACGTAGAATCGCAAATACGTTACAATATATATGTAAATATTCTATTATTTTTTAAAATATTAGTTTCCGTTAAGTGTGTCAAAACGCTATTTTGCATATTATGGTTATGTCTAATTTGGGGTTAAATTGCATTATTGCGTGAAATTTAAAATCAGGACTCCGAGTGCCATTTTAAACTTATTTTCTAATCCAAAATTCTTTTTTAAAAATATTTTTACGATATTTAAAGTATTTATTCTTCCTGATTTTGAATTTCTAATGCTAGTTTTCGAGCAATATCTACGTTAATACCAGTCTAATATGATTTTTCTTCCAGTTTAATAGTAAAGTTTTTATGACTGTATTTCATCATCTGTCATTCTTGTTACTGTTTTGAGAACAGTAGCAAGAATTCAAACATCGTTCCTTTATATACATACTCATATTTTCATTGTATTTACTTCATATTCTTTTAGTGTTATCTTCATAACTAGTGCATTTCGCTTCTATAGAAGCTTATGCACTTCTCAAATTTTAAATTCTTAACGAAACTTTTGCTGACAGTTAAAATATCTTACTGAAAAAAGAAGGAAATTTGTACTTATGTACTATCGCAAACATCTTAGCTTACTTTGGCGATATTTTACGGATGAAAATGTAAAAGCTACTTAGCATGTGTAAGTTTTCAGGCCTGTTTTTACTTCCTTGTACGAAGTAAAAAGTAAGTATTGTAATCGCGAAAAGTTTCAGGCACCATATTTCAACGAAAATATCCCATTTTGACCTCTTTCAAATGTAATTTAACGATGTATTTCCATGATATCTGTATGTAAGGACTGAATAAAACACTGTTTTCCGACAAAAAAAATTATAAAACTGCTTTAAAATGAATTCTGAAGAGAATTTTTCGTGGCGTCCGTACGAACGTATGTATTTACGTACGTATCTCGCATAACTCAAAAACGAGTAGCCTCAGAACGTTGAAATTTTGTATATAGGACTGCTATAACATGTAGATGTGCACTTCGTATTTTGGTTGCAATCGGCCGCACCAAACGCATATAAATATATTTATATATATATCCCCTCAGTTACACGGCTCAGTGATCTCAGTTTCTTTACTCTTATATGTTTGTAAATTGTACATTTTTTGCTTTAAAAATGATTTAATTATGTCGCTTTTATCTTCCGGTTAAGGATTTTATGCCTTTCGTAATTCTGAAAGAATATTTGTACAATTATCAACAATTTAAAAGCTGTTTAACTGCGGTTAAATTTTAAATAACATGGCGGACATATTTGTTTACATTTGAAAGAGCAGAATTGTAGATTTGTTGCCAATCTAGAGAGACTAGCTTCGCAAACACAAAATAAAGCCTTCATTTATTATTGCGAATTAAATCATGTTAATCCTTCTGGAATTTTTCGAGGAAATAAGTGTTTAAGATTTACTCGTAATTTTTAATACAGAATTTTGAGTTTATTATTTTGCCTTGTCGCGAGTGAGAACTGAATTAATTGAACGAGAAATACTCAATCGTCTGTGAAAAACTGTTTCGTTTTTGTTTGTTTGCTTAATTTCTTTTATATATCGTTGTAGCTTTATTATAGTATTTGAATAGAACATGTGGCAACGATTAGATAATTCTTTAAATGATATAAATTTTGTGCATTCTGAGTTATAATATGAACGAAATATAATACTATTAAGTAAACCTAGGGCCAGAGTGTCGCTATGGTAAACAAAGTGAATTTTAAAGAATGCATTTATTCTATTGTGATTTATGCGCTGTCGGCGAAGTAGTTTTAATTCAATCTAATAAGTTTAAATGAAATGTAAGAAAAAATGCGTATAATTTAATATTCCGTACAAAGAAGTCATGTGGTGTACACATCAGATTTTTAAGAAAGATTTCCAGACTACCGATATTTACAGTACGTTCGATGAACAATATCAGCATAGGAAAAGGAAACATAACTTAGTAATTTAAAATACAAATTTGGATTATTAAATAAGGATTATGGCATGCATTAAAAAACTAAAACACTTACATTCTTCTTAGAATCTTTCTATAATTTTTCTTTTTGAGTTATTTTTCTTCTGAAGTACACAGCGATCTGTTTTCACTTAAAAAAAGTCAGATAATTGCGAAGACTTTATGCAGTCTTCGGCATCGTGCAATCTTCAGTAGCAGAGGATATCTGTAAAATACATTTCCTCGTTGTTCCCTTCAGAACATTTTCAGCAAAATCCTGTACTATTACCGAAATTTTACAGCAATTTCTTCCAATGTTGGCAAATTCTACAAGCTCGTATTTTAAAATTCAGGCATAAAATATCACCATTCGTGTATAAAAACCGTTAAAATTTGGAATACATCAAAACAGAAAGCATACGAAAATTGCGGCGTTTTTTGACTGAAACGGTTATTATGAGCATGGCTGCCGTAAGAAAAGTTATACGCATGGTTGCCACAGTTTGGCACTTTCTGAAAATTTGGCTACTTCTGCTAAGATGGTTGCGATAGTACGTAAGTACCAGGGAATTTTTTCCTAACAAGCAATGTAATTGGCTGAAAATGGCATAAAATTACATAATTACATGCATTTCTATTTTTATTAACAAAGGGATCTTTTAGCATAGGTAACATTGTGTCTAGTCGGTTCTAGTCAGAACCTAATTTTAATTTTATTAATTATCTAGAATATATGGGTTTGCGATGCATTTCCTTTTTATTATAGAGTTTTCCTACTAATATGAACATCTTAAATTTTGCATATTAAGCTAAATTTAACACTCAAACTAAAGTACTTTTATATAGATTTTCAATTTTATTCATAGGTTACCAAAACCAACATTAAGTCGCCAGTAAAGGTTATCACCCTTTGCAATTTCCTAGAAAAAGCAATTTAAAATCTTAATAGAAACTTTCTTGTTTTTATTATGAAATCTAATTAATCAAAGACTCTGCTTCGTAGTAATCTCATTGAACTTTATCATTAGGCAATTAAAACTAAATTTACTAAACATTAAACTTGCTGGTAACAGTGTTAATTGTTCAAATATGTATCAGGATCAATCTATTGAGGAAATGCCTACTGACGCGATATATATGTCAGCTTTGAGTAACTCTTTCGTTTATGATTTAAACTAGAGATGGGGCGAATTCTAATCTTTATTCAATCTAGATCTAAATCCTAAAATTTTGTCGAATGTCTTAAACCCGCCGTTAGACAAAAAAAAAGAAGAAGATAGAGAAAAAAATAGTACTTTACTTAATATGGAAAGCGTTTAATTAAAAAACAAAATTTCAAATCTTCTTTAATCGAAAAAACAAATTTTAAAATATGCCTGTAATACTCCTGTATAATTTAAAAATACGCTATCTTGTATTAAGATAATGGAAATGTACTTGTTAATTCTGTATCTTCAGATTCTCATTTCTCAGTACATTATGATAAAAAAATATTTGAAAAAACAGTTCTAATATTTAAATTTTTCTGAATTTTTTTAAACCAGCGCAAACAAAAAGGTGGAAAATTATGTCAGAGGTTAACATACGCAGACGCTGTCAGATTTGCTTTTGGCCTCGTAGCGCCATCTTTATTTATTAACCGGAACTATTTGCTGTTGGGAAAAATTGCTTTGGATTTATTAGTAGAGATGTTCGCCGATAGATGTCACCACCTCGCGGCGCCATCTTTACTTAGTAACCAGAACTATTTCCTGTTGGGAAAAATTGTTTTGGGTTTATTAGTAGAGATGTTCGCCGATAGATGTCACCAGTGTAGATCAATGTCTAGCTGCTCTGCAAGTATCAAGACTTGGCAGTTTGGGGGCTCCAAACGATTAAATGTACATAGCCTCATTTAAAAACCCATATCCTTTTCACTGCGCCCGAAATCACCTTAAACGCTTTGTTTTTTTAAGAAGAATAAGAGCATTTCGACAGCGAAAGACGTGAAAATTTCTCTTGTTAATAACTTTATTATTATCGTAGTTTCCCATATTGCAGATTTAAACTGCATATTATTTCTATTATATAAAAATAAAACTTTAATTTTAGCCTTCAATTTTATATTTTTGGAAAATATTCTTGGTAGGTCCTTGAAATGA